TCCGTAGGTTCACGTCTTTGTATAGCCCCCATATAACAGTACCTCCCGTTATTGGGTATTTTGATTATATTAGATACGTTATTGACCGGAACTATTTCAAATTTAGTATTTGAAGTTCGTAATGGACACTACAGCCTATGACAGAAAATTGTCTGTGCAGGTCCACGTTTTATAACCCCATGGTACCACCCGATATTGAGTATTCTGATGATTTTAGCGACATTATTCTCCGGAATTGTTTTAAATTTCGTATTTGAAGTTCGTAATGGATACTACAGCCTATGACAGAAAATTGTCTGTGCAGGTCCACGTTTTGGTAAAGCCCCTATCTCTAACAAATTTTAAATTTCTATCCTAAATATTGCGAAATTTTTCTTAAACTATAAGGGTACCTTTTTATATGGTCAAAACTATATAACAAAACATATCTTGTATCTGCAGTATTACCGAAGACGCTATATACCTAAAATGAATGGATTTCTGTGCGAATCTTAGTGCGTATATTTCCAAAAACATACAAGAGGGGCAATTTGCCAACTCTGTTTATTTTGCTTAGCGATGTAAACTTTCAAAACACCGATACACGAGTCTTCTTTTTATATCCATTTGCTCCAACTTTGCAAATCCTAATATTTCCACATATCGGCAATATCGGTCCACTCCTTCTGCCCCTACATACCCCACAAAAGGTAGAAAAAATACTTCACATAAACTTAAGGATGATCCGCTTTTGCTCCAACTTTGCAAATCCTAATATTTGCGTCAACGCTAGGTCAGATGCGAAAATGGACAATATCGGTCCAGTCCATCAATTACCTATCCCCGCCAAAGAGTCAAAATGTTGAATAATTATAATTCTTAAAATCTAAATTCTAAAATGTGAATTACACACATCGCAAGATTTTTGCTAACGCAAGCACAGGTGTGAAGATGGAAAATATCGGTCCCCTCCTTGTAGTACCTCCCCCACAAAAGGGTCAAAATTTTCAACATCCATAAAATGCGAATTTATCTTCCAAATTAATTCAGACTTGGCACATCTCAATGTTTCCATCAGCACAAGATCTTTTATGAATATGGTACAGATCGGACCATTTCTTCTAGTACCTCCCCCACAAAACGATTATAAACCCGAAAAAAGCATCCGGTTCTCTTGACATTTCACAGATCCCATTACTTCTACTAATACAAGATCTGTTGTCAGATTTGGTACATCTCAATATTTTCATCAACACAAGATCTGTTATAAAGATGGTAGAGATCGGACCATTTCTTCTGGTACCACCCCAGGTTCAAAGTTTTGAGAAACCAAAACGATTATAAAATTCGAAATAAGCATTCGGTTCTCTTCATATGTCACTCATTTCATTATTTCAACTAACTCAAGATATGCTGTGAAGATGGAATACATCGGTCCACTCCTTGTGGTACCTCCCACCAAAAGGGTAACATCCATGCAGCTCATAAAACGCGAAATTAACATCCTATTCCCCTCTGGCTTGGTACATCAACACAAGATATGTTGTAAAAATGGTACAGACCGGACCATTTCTTCTCATACCTCCCTCACATAGGGTTCAAGAATTTGACAAACGAAACCCTCAAAGAAAGGGAAATAAGCATCCAACTCCCTTCAAATCTCACACAAACAAAGATTTTTACTAACGAAAAATCTGTTGTGAAGATGATATATATCTGCGAACCCCTTCTGGTACCTCACCCACAAAGGGGTTACAACTTGCTGTATCTAAACATTTCCCTCAACTCGAAACCTGAGATGAATGTGGATTGGAAGTGAGAACCTCAGAGGCAGCATTAATGCCCTACACCTTTGACCAATTTTTGGCCTCGTGCAGCCAAGTCGGACAACCGCTTATAGGAACATTCCTAGTTCAACTAAAATCGTTTATAACCACAATATGTAAATTTTGATGCAGAATATCTATTGGTTTGAAATTCACAGAAAGATTGGGTAATTCTTATTAACGCTTCACAATACAGAAATTACGCTTAATATGGTTATTTAATTAATAATTATTAATTTAAATTTTTTAGTTTAAACTTTTCTTTCATTTTAATAGCAAAATTATTTCTATTCTCTATTCTTAAATTCTGCAAAATTCCGAAGAAATCTCCCTAAAATGAAATTTGTAACATTGAAAACATTTTTCAAACACAAAATTACAAATCCTAGCAATGTGAAAATCTACAAATTAGTATACTACCTTGTGCTGTGTGATATAATAAATTGCCTCCATCTGGGTACTATGACAACGACTGTTTTATATTTTATCGACATTCTCCACTCGCTCTCCGTTTGCTTTCTGCTTCGAAAACAATGTTCTGCCTTAGATTACGGCTCGCATAATGGAGTGCAAAGTGAATGTTTCCCATGTCGGTACGTTAACATAAGGAAAACGAGGAAAAACAAAAACATCTAAAGGAAAAACCTTTTATTCGTTCAAAGCCAGCAAAAGTCTGTTGAAAGGGGGCACCAGCAGGCCAAAAGAGACTTAGAAAGGAAACAAAGGAAATGCTCCATTTATAAGTTAATCATAGTTTAGTGTATGTTGATCACAGCAGTTTGGTGTTGTTGTTGTATATATGCATATTTGTATGTATGTATTTGTATGAACACAGTCCCAAGGGGTAATTGCAGGTTTGTTAGGTAGGTTCACATTTATATATATTTTAATCTCGTCCATAATTTATTTAAAAGGAGTTTTGAAGAAATTTGGAGGGTTAAAAAAATAAAAACTGTTGAAGACATTTTACCATTTCCGGCAAATGTTGTGTTTCTGTACGTTTTTCATTGTAAAAATTTTAAAGAGAGAAATGTGAAATTTTCTCTGAGAGGATTATGTTGCCCAGAGGGTTAAGGTAAATATGTAAAAAACTGACGGCAAATCATTCAAAATCTACATTTCCGTAAATCACAAGCTGGCAGTCATGCCATTATTTCTCTCTCGAGCAAATTTGTGTAGGAAATGGGTTTTTTGAAGATAACGTAATCTGCCGCAATACAATGTAGCGCTACAGGAGCTAGAACCTATTATTACAAAATAATGAATATGGGAAGGTACCGTTATATGTCGGCTATATCAAAACGTGGACCGATTAATCTCATTTTCAATACCAAACAATCCTAGACAGAATACAAATTGTGGGCTGTATCGTGATTTCCACAGACAGACGGTCATAGTTAAATCGACTTAGAATTTTATGCTAATTACATACAGGGTGAGATGGAAAAACCGCAACCAACTTCAGTCTGCTGTCATTATTAAGCCACTCGTCCGACAGCTGTTAAAATTATTCCAGTGACAGTTCATTATATTGATTACAAGCGTACAAAAGCATTTTAGTGAGAATTTTCCTGAAAAAAAGTTTTCGAAGACTTGATCGAAACCCGCGTCGCAGTGGACGAAAAATGGATTTTGAGCTGAACATATCGCAATATTCCATTCGGCGAGTATTGGAAAATGAGCTCGGGGTAAAGCCATTGAAATTCCAAAATGGGCAAGAACTTACACCGCAATAGAAAGAAAATAGATTCAAAAGTTCTAAAGAGTTGCTTCGCTTGGCCGAAAGTTGTGGACTGCCGAATTTGGTTTTTTCCTATGAGAAAACATTCGTTGTCCAACAGTTTGTAAACAAGCAAAATGATCAGATTTACTTACCAAAGAGGTCTGCTGAAAATGTTCCCTTTCGGTTGGCCACCAGAAATCAAGCGCCGGCCATGGTGGTGGTGTTGGCCGCCATAACAGCCGATAGTCGCTCTCCGCTCGTATTAATCGACCGTGGCATCAGAATAAATGCCAATTATTATCGCAAAAATATTCTGAAGGGTGTAATAAAGCCTTGGGCACGCAAATGTTTTGGCTGCAGACCTTGGATATGCCAAGAGGACACTCAGCACGCGCCACCCAAAAATGTTTACAAAATGAGGTTCCTCGCTTCATTTCCAAATACCAAAGTGTCGATCACCTCAAGCAACCGCTGAGCCGTGAATGGGCCAAAATACCGCAAAGCAACATTCGGGCAACGTGTGACGGTTTCATTGTCCAATTATGCCACCAGCCCATAAACGGCACCAAACTTTATGCATGCATTGGGGGATTTTGCAATTCTTCTGCCTGATTTACATTCCAAAATCAGGAATTCTGCCTTTTTACGTTCCCATTCATCCTACAATGAGCTTTGCCATAAAATGGAAAAAACTCGTGATTAACTTTCTTAACAGAGCACGCATTTTGATAATGACATTCAATGATTTGCTAACTTATTTGATTGTAAGATGACGGTTATATTACAGACCAACTCGAATATATCTGGCCGTGAAACAAAACACGAAAAGTACATATGCTGTCAAACCAGTGTTGCCAAAAAGATAATAGCTAAAAAGTTACCCTATACTTCTAGATTTTCGGTATTTTGAAGGTTTGGCTCCGATATTCAATTAAATCCGTTGTAATTAGACATTTTGGGTTTTCAGTGGAAAGTTCAACTCCTCCCAAAAATTAATATTTAATATGTGGCCAATTTGACCAAAAATAAAGTTTTCACATGGAAAAAAGCCGGCAATATTTTAAAGAATAATTATTTTAGATCTAAATCCTCTTTACGAAAAGGATCGAATTTTAGCCTATGAAAAGTGTTTCCAAAAGTGAGATATTGAGATGAGCCAGGAATAATCAAAATCACAATTTTGAAAATAGTGTATTCTAAAATGGACCTCTTTTCTTGATAGTTGTGATCTTGAGTTGTGGCACTAAAATATAGCCTCTTCACCTTTCTAGACCCTTTTTGATTTAAAATCCATTTTATTATTAAACAACAAATACTTATAACTCCATCAGATGCTGTTTTCCATTTCATGTTCATATATCTGAAATCAATTGCATTCTCGTATTGAATAAAACCACTAAAATGGAATAACATGCAAATAAATGCAAATAAAGTAGAAAACTAATAAACAACTCTATAAAAAATCAAACTAGCAAACAAATTGATATCAAATCACCGGACCAAATTGGAAAAGGGGACGAAGTGAGACGATAATCATACCGTCACGTGTCTTTTTGGTTTTGTGAAAGGAAACCAAACAAGGAAAGCACAAAGTTAAACACACACACACTCAAATATCCATAGACCGCGCCAACCACATCCATCCAGATCTTATCCATCCAACCATTCAACGTTCGTTCGCCCGTTCGCTTGTTCGCTCTGCTATAAATGCTTGCCACAAACAGTTAATAATAAATAATACACCTCAGAAAAGAAAAGCATAGAAAACCCAAATCTCAAAGATGTCACTAAAGGTAAGATAATTTTCTTCTTCAATGTTGATTTTGCGCTGCGAATTTTTGCTGTGGTTTTCTTTTTCATTTTTCTCAGTTGAGTTCTATTTCTTCATCGTTCGCACCAAGTACTATAATTTCTGTTACAAGCTTCACGGCTGTAGTTTTCTGTTTGAATTGCAAGCACCTGTTGAGACTACCGTTAACTAAGCGATAATTGCGTGCTGATAAAATGACAATTATAATTATCTTGTGATATAAAAGTTTGTGAATATGGGGAATTACACAGACACACATACACACGTGGAGCCATTATCGATACACTGGGAGAAAAATAATTTCTAAATTGGTTACAAATTTCTAAGCGTTCAAAATTTTACAACATTTGGTCATATATTTCCTATTTTCTTGCAAAAATTAATCATTTTTTTAAATTGATTCGAATTCATTACAAAATTTTCCAAGTGTATTCATATGAATACCATTGTATTTGTATTTTTCCCCTATTCGTCTGTCATATCTAAGCATTAATAATTGCTCAGTTTATAGATAACATTGTTTTACAAAATCATAGCCAGCTTTTCGCACGGATTTTTTTTATTTTCATAATAGTTGAAATGCTATGGCTTTGTTGTTGTTGTTGTTTAATTATCCAACGCACTTTGTTACATTTTAGCACCCATAATCAAACAAACAAACGATGTATAAACACAAACAGTTTCCATTAATTCACCATTTAGTAATTAATTATTACATAATGTTACATTTTTTTATCGATAAATAGCTTTTAAGAGATGTTTTTCTTTCGGAAAGCAGGAAATCGAATTTGCGATTTGATTGCTATTTAGGTCAAGGTTTTTGGTTTTTCTCAGCTATTTGAAGATGTGGATATCCATAAAATTATCAAATATACCCAATTCGTTAAGAATCTTTTTTAATTTTAAAATTGGTTTTTCAAATAATTAATTATTTTAATCATTAATTATCCAAATCAAACAAGTAAAAAAGCAGCTAAGTTCGGCCGGGCCGAACTTTAAATATCCTCCACCATTTGGAAGGAACTTGAAAAATTTCAAAAAAAAAAATCCGGAAACTAGCACTTAAATGAAAACTGTTATATGAAGACTGTACGAAGATGTGGACCTACTTACGAAATTTTTTGTCATAGGCTGTAGTACCCATTACGAACTTCAAATACCAATTTTGAAACAATTCCGGTGAATAATGTCCCACAAATCATAAAAATACCGAGTATCGGGAGGTACCGGCACAAATACGAAATTTGAAATAATTCCGGTAAATAATGTCGCTAAAATCATGAAAATACCGAATATCGGGAGGTACCATTGTATAGGGCCTATACGAAGACGTGGACCTGCATAAGAAATTTTTTTCCAAAGGTTGTAGTAACCATTAAGATCTCCAAATACGAAATTTGAAACGATTCCTGTGAATATTGTTGCTGGAATCATCAAAATACCGAATATCGGGAGGTACCGCAATATGGGGGCTATACGAAGACGTGGACCTGCATACGAAAATGTTTGTCATGGGCTGTAGTACCCATTACGAACTTAAAATACTAAATTTGAAATAATTCCGGTAAATAATGTCGCTGAAATCATGAAAATATCGAATATCGTTATATGGGGGCTATAAGAAAAAGTGGACCGACATGGCCCATTTACGAACCTAACCTGCCTACTGGTAAACTATGCATGTATGAAACATTTTAACTTTCTATCTCAATTCGTTCGAAAAATAGCGTGATTACAACAGACAACCAGACATCGCTAGATCGTCTTAGAATTCTACGCTGATCCTGAATATATATACTTTGTAGGGTCTATTATGAATGTTTCGAGGAGTTACAAACGGAATGACAAACTTAATATACCCTTCATAGAAAGGACAACATTTGTGCACCTATTACCTGTTTTATCTGCAGGCAGGTCAAGTTCGAAGATGGGCTATATCGGTCCACGATATCGTATAGGCCCCATATAACGACAATTTTTTTAGCCATATTTTTCAACGGTATTGTCGGAAATTCTACACAAGGATTTCTTTGTGAGCACTTTACCCCCGAAAGAGAATTGTCTATACAGGTCCACAATATAGTATATCCCCCATATAACGGCACCTTCCGATATTCGGTATTTTGATGATTTTAGCCACATTTTCCAATGGAATTGTTTGAGAATCCACCCAAGAAGTTGCTTGTGAGTACTTCATCCCCTGGAAGAGAATTGTCTATATAGGTCCACGATATCTTATATCCCCAATATAACGGTACCCCTCGATATTCGGTATTTTGATGATTTTGCCAACATTTTTCAACGGAATTGTCTAAAATTCTACACAAGGAGTTCTTTGTGAGTACTTTACCCCAGACATAGATTTGTCTATATAGGTCCACAATATCGTATATCCCACCATATATCGGCACCTTGCGATATTCGGTATTTTCAAGATTTTAACAGAATTTTTAAAGGATTTTATTTTTTTGACAATTTTCATAATTCGTTCCAAATGGTGGAGGGTATTCAAAGTTCGGCCCGGCCGAACTTACTGCTTTTTTACTTGTTAAATCTTTAAAATTTTAAAAAAATATTTACAATAAAAGGTATCAGTTTTGCTGACAGATGTATACCCTCAGAATATAGTAGATCAGATATATTTTGGGACTATACCAAAACGTGGACCTATGCATGCAATGTTTCGCCATATGAGCTAGAACCCATTATAAACTAGAAATACCAATTTCTGGGCATATCTGCTAAAACTGTGGCAAAAATCATCAAAACATCGATTATCGGGAGGTCCCGTTATATGGGGGGCTATACCAAAACGTGAGTCCATGCATACAAAGTTTCGCCACACGAGCTAGAAACCATTATGACCTACAAATACCACTTTTTAGACAAATCCGTGGAAAAATGTGGCAAAAATCATCTAAATACCGGATATCGAAAGGTATATGGGGTTATATGGGCACTATACCAAAACGTGGACCGATGTATCTCATTTTCAATACCAATCATCCTAGACACAATACAAATTTTTCTGCTAAATGACGCTCTACGCTCTACAATTATATTTGATCTGTTCCAGGACTGCAAGAATTCAAAAGTTTTTCCTACGATAACTGATTTCTTCTTAATGATATCGAAAAAATTGCAAAAGTAGTAGATTCTTGCTGGTTATGGAACAGACCAATTGTCAAATTCAACGAAATCGTGGTCTGGTGTAGACAAATTTTACAAGGGAAGGTCGAACCTATTGCGAACTTTAAATACTAACTTAAGAAAACTTTCGTTGCAAATTCCGACTAAAATCATAAAAAAAAACCCAAATATCGGGAGGTACAATTACATGGAGTGTATGACACAATTAGGATCTATTGCAGGAGAATGAAATAGGGTTTGAATAACAGCTTTACAACTATTTTCGAAAAACGTTTGTTTGTGTTTTCTTATCAATTTAAAATGAAATTATTATTTAATATTATTAAAGTACACTCGATGATGTTCACTTAGATAACGAACGGCACACCTAATCACCCAGCGAGCGAGTTCGCCTTGTTAGTAAGCTCTAATTAAACAACTGAAGTGCTTTAATTTTCAAATAAATCGCATTGACATAATAACGATGACAATTGACTGTTTGCAGTCATTATTAAAGTGGCAATAACAACAATTACAAATGAAATCCCCCCAACAAAACCTACAAGTTTTCCAAAACACCAGCAGCAATGAAGCCAACGAAATTAAAAGTCCAAAAAAATGTCAGCAAAGAATAAAACAATGCCAATACTTCATAAGGTTTGTCTATCTGTCCGTCCGTCCATCTGTCTGCCTGATGGTATTCGACATTAAAATGTTTGGCGTTTATGAGTTGAAATGCCAAACGGGTTACGTCTTGAAATTTGGGAAGGGCGTCTGGCAGAGTACGAACGACCCATCACATTTACACTTTAAATTTTCGCTGCCTCAGCATTTATTTTTTTGCCTCAGACAGTAGCTTGGTATTTGCAGATAGTTCCTCCTCCCCTCTTCTGCCCTAATGCAGCTGCTATTAACGACAACATTGTCTGTTGAGTGCTGGGAAAAAATTGCAAAGCTAAATACAATTGACTGTAAACAAAACAACACCGAAAAAAAACCCGGCCAGCTAGTGTGGGTTGCTTGTTGAGCTCCTTGCTGATGGCATCAGGTGCACTTTTGCCGATTCCCACCATACCTGCTACCTTTTTTGTTTGTTGTCTATGGAGAAAAACAAAAAAAAAAACGCTTCTTTGTATGTCTCAGAGGGGGTAGGACATGTCGTGCATGGATATATTTTGAACAAATTACAGATGTATATTTACAAGGCAGGGCGATTTGATTCGAAATACAGTACATGAACTAAATATCAAAGAGCTTTGCTTTATATCGCTATAGACTTACTTTGTTATTTTGTTTTTGTAAAATAGTCGGGCTGTCCTATTACTGCTGTTTTTATAAAAGCCTGACTCTTTGCGAAGACAAGGCGTAATATTTTATACATTTTTATACCCTACACCAGATTGTGGTAAGGGTATGGGTGATAATGAAAAAGGAAGCGAGATGGATACATAGTTACTTTTGAGGAATTTTTTCACATTTGACCGAAGAAGCAATATAGCAAGATATAGCAAAATCTCCCGCATATATGTTTCGTCCAATTTGGGGTTCTAAGTTCCTTACTACGCAATATGCACCTTACAACAATGATATTTGGTACCAGATATCAAATACAGCTCTTAAATAAGTGCCTAAAATGTTGTCAAAAATTCAGGATCGGTTCAGATTTGGATCTAGCTCTTATACTTATCTTTATCCGATTTTCTTATCAGCACAGACGGACTGAATTTTGGCACATCCGAGCGAATTCAGACAAGAAGCAAGTACTTCAAATTTTGGTGAAAATCGGTTCAGATATAGCTATAGCTCCCACATCGTGTTAAAATCCCTCACATGCGTGATATACACTCCACAACAAGGATATTTAAGACCGGACATTAGATACAGCTCGAAAATACCTATGCCATATTTTATCGAGATCAATTCAGATTTGTAATACATCTTCATCCGAATTTACCGTTATTGTCCACCATATATGTAATATCAACTCAAATTGGATAGATTTTTTTATATTCAACCGAATTTTTCCATTTGGTTAAACTCGGTCCGGTATCCAGAATTTTTCATATTCAACCGATTTTTTTCCATTTGGTGAAGCTTGGTCCGGTATACCTCCTATAAATATTTTTTATTATAATTCTTATCGAAGTCAAATCAACCATTTGTACAGCAATGTTAATTGGTTTATAGTTGGTATGACCTACTTCACATATATTCCGAATGTAATTTTTTGTTACGGGAGCTATACTAAATACACATAGTGGTGTAGGGTATCATATAGTCGGGCTCACCCGACTTTTAACCATTTCTTACTGGCATTGTTTTTAAAATTGTTATAGAAAAAAGAGCCCAACTCCAAGTTTATTTTACTTAATTTCTTTATTACATTTAAATGTAGTATAACATAGCAAAATGGTGCTAAGATATTATAGGGCCATATCTTGGGAAAATGGGTTAACCGGATACATTCTTTTACTTATTATAACCGAAGTTGTATTTTGAAAATCATAAAACGAGGAACCTATCATATCAGTAGCCATTTAAATACCCCTTCCCAGTGAAATTGGCCAGCCACTATGAGGCAATACAAACAATTCATTTGTTTTCTCGATGTATGGATGATACGTATCTTCGATTGCACTTCAATGCAAATGTAGTTTTTTGTTGTTGTTGTTGTTGTTGTCATTGTTGAAATGTATTTTTATTGAATTGTAGCTGCTTACAAATATTTAGTATAGTTCGCTTGTTCGTCATAGTCAACTAGCAACAAGTTGTTTGTTTTTTTTTTGAGGATTTTCTTGTTGACCCCTGACACTTGTTGTTGTCGTTGGTTATGTTTCAATGTAGAGAATATATTGAAAATGTTTCTGTTTTGGTTAGTAGAAAAATAACATCCTCCTGTGTGAGAAAATAAAATGAATAAAAGTGTTTTTAAATCTGTTTTTCTTTGGAATTTTAAATTTCAGAAAGAAACACCTTCAGATGTTTTGCTGCATTTGGCTGCGCTGAGAGGGGATGACATTACCCTGCGACGTGTCTTGGATAGCGGGAAGGTGCATGTGGATTGTAAAGATGAGGTGAGTGAATATACCACTTAATATTGGCAAATAACTAATGTTGAACCAGCCATCGGCTCATTTAAAATTGAACTTTTGACTGCTCCAAAAATAATGCTGGATTTTAAAGCGAGAAGATTCTTTCTTAAAATATGATACCCAGGAACGTTTTCAGGCTTAGAAAGATGATGTTTAGTTGCTTTTTTTGTCATGTTACTATGCAAGAAAAATCAGGTTGTCTAGGCTCTGGGGATCAGCCCTTAACTGCCACGGATCACTTCCACAAACTTTAGTCTTAGCTTCGAATTTCGCCATCTGCGTTCTAAAAAGCAAACTACAGACGGGTCTAAATACAATGCTGAATATTAAAGAACTATAATCAAGGAACTGAGTCAATCTTACCCTTTCTATATGTCTGGGGTTTAACACATCTTTGTATTTTTTTGTCAGATAATTAGGACCCAACACCTGGTATTAAATTAGCTTATTTCGCATTTTATGAGGGTTATGATTATTGAATGGGTGGACTGAATATATACCACATAAATACATCTATGATTGGCAAAAACATTGAAAATGTATAAGAGCTATAATTGTTCCAAATGTCGATCCTTTTGTAGGGTTGATACTATTTTCTGTTTTGAAAAATTCTATTTTGTTTGAAAATGTTGACGTTTTTTTGGTTGAGGTACAATAAGGAGTGGACCGATACTGTCCATCTCTTATCTCGATTTAAGTTAGATAACAATACAACGATGTACCAAGTTTGAACCATACGGGATACTCCCTTCGAAAGCTATTGTGCCCCCCCCCCTCCGCCCCATCCAGCAAGATATGAAACCAAGGAAGTTTTACATGATTCTCGCCTCGACGACTCCAACCATGACACACCATTGCACCGGGGTCGATATAGGATGCTTCGCCCAGCGCTCCTTTGGAATTATCCAGAGTTCTACCACTAAGCCCTCCACAGAGTTCCAGGTATATTCCGTAGGTACCAGCCGAAAGCTCAGCTAAATGGCTCTACTCCCTTTTGACTAGGGATTGAGGACTTTCTTACACCTCTGCTGCTCTATGGGTCACAGTACCCGGTTGAGAATTAAACTCCACATCGAGCCGAAGCTCTACCAGCGATTTAGGTATAAACCACAATGAGCCCTATTTACCTCCACTCTTCCGCTGGCGAACGGCACCCTATTTAGTTTTAAAGTGCTTCAATAAAGACCGTGAAGATCTGTGATTATGATTCAGAGAGCTGAGATTGCCTACCACCTGCGGTACAAGAAAAGACCTCTGGTAGCCGAGTTATTTCCAGTTTCGGTTTCATGCGACCACGGGACAGGTAACCCTCCGTTACCCTGTATAGCCCCACAAAACAACATCAAAACAGAATGACCTACATCAAACAGGGGTCATGTAGAAGAAATATTTTCATTTCTGTGCTGTAGAGGGGGGAAATATTTCCCTTTTACTAAGTTTGTTTCTAAATTCTCTTTAAGATTTGTTAGATCTTTGCAAATAGCTGAGTAAATGATTTCACCAAGCAATGAACGCTTGAGAAAAACTACAATTAGCAACAGTTTCTGCGTAAATTTTTCGGAATAATTAAAGTAACTAGCCGCCAATAAAGGCTTATGAAAAGAAAAAAAAAAACAAAAACGATACAATGTTAATTTAATTAATTAACAACAAAAAACGGTCACGCATGCTCTCGTTTTCTTCTTCGTCTTCCTTTCATCGTTGTTCATAATCGCGGTCTGTTTGTCTGTCTGTCGGCGGGACTGGCTATCTGTTATGTGCAATTGACCGTGCGGTAACAACATCAACCAATCGCCAAAAAAAAAGTAGCAGCTTGAAATAAAAACCTACGCCAATGTAATGCTAATTTGTTGACGTAGGTTTTGTTTCTCGGCGCAAGTATAGATTTTTGTGGTTGTTGTTGGAGTGGCTTCTGAATTGTTTAAGTGAAATTGAAATTATTTTCATTTATTTCATGGCGGCCAGTGCTTTTGTTGCTATTTTCGTTGAGGGGGGGATACTATTCGCATTTGGGCATTGAAGCGCAAAATAGTAAACAAATAATGAAAAGGCACGTTCGGATATTTTTTGGAGTACTTTTTTGGGGCAATATTGAGAATACAGTAAATTCTGCTTTACGATGTGGTTCCTGTTAATAAACTAGCACTACAATATTCGTAGTACTCTTTAATGGTACTATGCTTAATGGTGGGTGTTGTGCTTCCTATATCCGTTGGTCGAAAAATTATTTTTGTTTTTTTTTTTTGTTTACATTACCCATCCATATCGCAATTAGCTTCCAAGTACTGTATAAACCAAAAAGCAGAAGCAAATTAGCTGTAAATAATTCATCAAACTATTTTCATGCTTCTTGGCGTAGAGTTTTTGGCAAGTGTTGTTTGTACGCTGCCATGTTATGAATTGGTCTAATGATTGAATAGATGATGCAGCTTGGTTTACTGTCTATCTGGCAGGCAGGCGGGTGGTGGTATTGTTACATGCCAAAACAGAGGTTTGAGGTTGTTTTTTATGTTTTGTGTTGGTGTTGCTCTTTCAGTTTTGTCCGGAATTACACAATTATTACATTTTCGAGCCACAATGAAAATCGAATGCAATTTGTGGTTACTTCGAAATGTGGAAAATTTACAAATATTTGCTAATTGTTTTTCTTTTTTATTTTTCACAATAATTACAGGATGGCACAACACCACTTATATTATCTGCAGCCGGAGGCCATACAACATGTGTACTGGAACTTTTGGAACAAGGAGCCGATCCAAATAGTCGCCGCGCAACCGGAACTACACCATTGTTTTTCGCTGCCCAGGGTGGTTACTTGGATGTGGTGAAAATACTAATAAAGGCTGGGGCCAGTGTGGACACACCATCAGTGGTAAGAGAAAATGGAATATATGAAGAAATTTTGGCTAGCCACGCCCGTTTTTTGATTATTCTCAAACAATAACAAAATTCTCAAAAATTCATTACTTGACAAATCCACAATTAAAGAGATATAGATAGGCCTTTAGAAATTCACGATTATAGCTTTGCGGACCCTTGAGAATAATTGTTAAAAAAGCTATTAGCTTGGTTTATTGAGCCTTGTTAAGGTGTCCGGACTATACACAATTTACGTTGGACTTCAAAATATACTTAAAATGTCAAGATGATAGTTCTGTTTAAAAGGACCACATTCCCTGAAAGATATTCTTAAAAAAATCAAAAGATATGAAACTATTGGTTCTGGAAAGATTTTGTTTAAAAAATATTGAAAAATTAAAAAATCCTTTAAAAACACCAATATTATAGCTCCCTTGGTCCTTGAAAATTTTCTTTTCAAAAATCCTCAATTAAAAAATATTCTGAAAAAAAAATATACGATATACCTCTGCTGGCCCTTGGAGAAACTTCTTTAAAAAATCATGAGTAAATTTCCGATGGTCCTTGAAATCTTGTTTATAAAAAATACAGAATTATTTGTGCATGAAGAAATTTAATTTTTATACCCTCAGTCATATGACTCAGTCATAGACCCTAGGTCTCTTTGGGCTAAATCCGTTTTTGGACATTTATTTGTTTTCAAAAAAATATTTTACTGCACAGAAAGAGAAAGGATAATTCGATTTCGCTCCAACTTTGCAAATCCTAATATTTGTTTCAGTTATATCAGTCTACTCCATCAAGTACCTCAAAATGTTGAATAATTACAACTCTAATAAAATGTGACATATGAATCAGATTGTCTTCAAATTTCACACAACACAATATTTTCATTAACCCAAGATCTACTATAAAGATGGGAAATATCGTCCACTTCCTCTGGTACCTTACCCACAAAGGGTCAAAATTTTTAATATCCATGAAGCCCATAAAATGCGAAATTAATATCCGATTTCATTCACACTTAACACATCGCAATATTTTTATCAACACAAGATCTGTTATAAAGATGGTAGAGATCGGACCATTCCTTCTGGTACGTCTCCCACAAAGGGTCAAAGTTTTGAATAACTAAAACGATCATAAAATCCGAAATAAGCAACCGATTCTCTTCATATTTCACACATCACATTATTTCTACTAACACGAGATCTGGTGTGAAGATGAGCTATATAGGTCCACTCTTTCTGATACCTTCCCCACAAAGGGCTAACATTTTGAATAGCCATGAAGCTCGTTAATCGCGAAATGAGCATCCAATTTCTTTTAAACTCGTCATATTTATTTTTTCTTATCAACACGAGATCTGCTGTTAAGATGGTAGTAAACGGCCTACTCCTTCTGGTACCTGCCCCACAAGGGGTCTAAATTTTGAAAAATTATGTCTAATAAAATATTCTTTAAACACATCTCCGAAAAACTCGTTTCAATTTGAAGGAGTGAAAAGGACAGGATTTAAGCTTTGCTGATCCTTGAAAAATATTTTTAAAAAATCTTGAACATTTTTTACCTTAAAATATATAAATATTCTTATCCTTAAAATGTAATAAAAAGACCAAGATATAAACATTTTTGATGCTTAAAATATATTTCGAAATTTGTTTGAAACATAGTCTGAAAAAATTTGTGAAAAATTGATAAAAGTGTGAAGGTATGTAATTCACTCGTGAATACTCGACACTTCTGGAGCTTGCTTTATACTAACATCGTCGTAAAAAAAGCTGAAAATGCCAGGTGCCTATTCCCTTTGCCGGGATGAAATCATGATCTTGTTAGCGATCACCATTGTAAATCTGTCAGTTTCGTTTTGAAAAAAAAAAATGATTTCTTTAATAGAGTGCAATATGAAGTATAAAAAAATTGGTCCTCGAAAAATTTCGTTAAGAAATCTAATACTAAAACTCCGTTGGTCCCAGAAAAATAGGTTTAAAAAATGACGATAATATCCCTATTTGTCCTCGGATATAATTATGTAGTCAACATATTTTACCTTAATTTTGAGTTTAAAAACATATATTAACTAAATCCAATCATTTTTCAGGATGGAGGTACACCCTTATTTGTAGCCGCCCAGGGAGGTCATGTGAAATTGGTCAAGGAACTCTTGGACTGCGGTTCAAATGTAAATGCATGTATGAAGGCAAGTCGGAAGTAGTTTTGCAATAAAATTATTCTTCAATAATAAATTATGTAATTTTTCGTTTTCAGGATCGTGCCACACCAGTATTTATAGCAGCTCAAAATGGCCATAGAACAGTATTGTCACTGCTGCTGACAGCTGGTGCATATCCCGATACGAAACGGATAGATGGTGCCACACCCCTTTGGATAGCAGCACAAATGGGCCACGATCACATTTGCAAAGTGCTGCTACAAAACGGTGCCAATGTGGATGCTGTTCGATGCGATGGTGCCACACCACTGTTCAAGGCGGCACATAAAGGTCATGCAGCTGTGGTCACTGAGTTACTGAAACATCGTCCAAATTTGGGGTTACTACCGGTAACAGAATTTGAAATGAAAATTTTTGTAATTAAATAAATAATTTTGAAAATCTTCACAGAATGGTGAAACCGCACTGCATGCAGCTGCCATGTTTGGTCACATGACCGTGGTAAAGCAGCTAATCGCGGCTGGAGCCGATATCACGCAGGTCAATCAGGATGGTTTAACGGCCCTACAAGTGGCTCGCCAGCAGAAATATTCCTCCATTTGTGACTACTTGCAGGAGAGATTACGAAATTTGCAGGCCCGTAATCAGCAAAGCTAAAAGCCATCCCCTAATCGGAACCCCAACAAAAATCAATAACATTTAGAAGCAGAGCTTACATAAATAGAGCTTTTATTTCGTCCCTACAAGGATACAAACTCGAACATAAACATAACATGCAAATAACGGATATTTCGACACAATTTCACATTCACACACATTCATACACAGACACACTTGCAGCTTTAAGAGTTTACAAAAACCTTTGTCGAAATATCCCCAAAACGAATCCATTTTTTTGTGGATGAAAAAAACCCTATTCGAATATTGTCTAAAACCACAAACCAAACAAACAAAACAAACCGAAAATTTAACGGATGACAAACAATTTTTGCCTTTTTTATCGATAAGTTTTTTGAGTCTACAGATTTTATGTGGAATGCCTCGAACACTAAATGATTAAGCACCGCGTCCATTTATTGACTTTATTATTACAAATTTATAATAAAAAACAAAAAATAACACAAAAACAATAACAACATCCTTTTCTAAAGAATCTTATGATAATCATTCATACCTTAATGGTTATTTATATATAATGATAATAAAACACAATATTGTATTGATAATAATAATAATAATAAAAAATGATATTGAATCCCCCCATTGTTTGTAAATATCTATAAAAAAAAAAAACAAATAGCAACAATAAATACTAAAGCTAAATTAATTGTTAAACCTTAATGAAATAATAAAGCAATTGTTGAACTTGTGCAATATTCCTCGTAACATAATTTATTAAATTATATTAAATTATAAGAACACAACTAATCTGATCTAAAATCAGTCCTTTTTTTAAGTTTAACTTAAATCAAAAAATCCTATTGTAAATTTTATTAAAATATTTATTGTATTTATAAACTAATATTTATTACCAAAAGAACAATTATTTCATAAAAAAAGAAAATATCAAAATTAATTTAATAAAATTTTCAAAATTCTAAAGTGCGAAATAATTTATTTCGGGGGTGGAAAATTTTAATTTGAATGGATTTAAAATTAGTAAACAGTAATTTTTACTCTATATGTTTTTTAATTTATTTTTTTTATTTTTATGCTCACTACTCCCGAGGGGAGAGATCTTCTCCGTAATAACACGAACTGGGTAAAAAGAAAACCTTAGTTTCTAAAGTGTATTTTTTTTATTTTTGAAAAATATTTTAGAAAAAAAAATGTATTATTCCGGAAGAAATACCAAATATTTAAAACACGACATTTAAATGCTAAAATGTTACTTAATTTAATCAAAAGATGGCGGTGTTGTCGATTTATTAACAACGTTGCCATGGCGTTGACAGAAATATAGTGGATTTAGTCTTGCGCCTAAAAGTATGCCCAAATTATATAAAATATCATAATTAAACAAACAAATTACTATTTTTAATGCAATTTCAAACTTAATTTCGTTTGTAATTGAATATCAAATCACTTGCATAGCGCCTGCAGTGACGAGAAAACATTTTAGTTGTCCACAATTATAGCCCTGTTAGTTCTTCAAAAAAGCTTTAAAACCACACAATTCTAGCCCTATTATCTCTTGAATAATATTTCTCGAAAACTATTCTTTAAACAGTACACAATCATACCTCTTTGGTTATGAAACGTATTCTTTAAAAAATCTACAATGTTGCTTCTCAAAAACTATTATTTAAAAAATCCACGATTACATTCTTTTGGACCTTGAAAAGTATTTTTAAAATTCCTCGATTGAAAATCTGTTAGTCCTGGAAAAATATTCTTAAACAACTTAAAAATGTAGTATATGAGAAAATACTGGGGAAGGAGTTTTGAGTTCATAAGTTAGTATCTGTATTTGTAAACTAATGAGGGTTGGAGGCTTTTTTCCCGAAACTATGGCCAGACCTTCCTAACCTTATATTATGAATGATATATTCGTTTGTATTTTTTCTCGAAATAACCATTTCACTTCAAACAAAGTATTTTCAATCTTGATTAGCATAAAATTCGGGTCTTCAAGGACCCCGCCCCTCCATACTTAATACCCATATTAGCCAGACATTTAATGTAGTTATAGTATCAACATTTCGCTGGTTTATGCACTACGTTCTCAGTTATTTTACGTCCACATAAACCCGTCTGGGCTAGAGCTCTCTTATGCAAAACGCATTGAGAGAGACGAAGCATCACGAATAAATTCGTATTTCACCCTACCTTTCTCACTGTCTCACCTTCACCTATCAACAACTCATTACCTCATTACCCATTCCTAAGAATGCTTTGTACCGTCTAACATCTTCATTTACCAGATCAGTCCCACAGTTCTAGTCAGCTTCTCTTTGAAATGATCGAAGTGCACAAGGAAATTAAGCCTATCCGTTATATGGATACCCATGCACTTAATCTAACTCGCCTAATTTATGCCACGTTCGTCAGCTCGTAAAAGCGAAGGTCGACTATGAGCAAGTCTGCCTGTCAGCATTAACAACGATTTCTTATCATTCGCGGCCTCAACGCCAACTCGGACTCCATGCTTGCATTATGCGCATTGTCTGCTTACAAAGAGTACTCAGTTCGGGGCGAGTCAACCATAATGAGCTGGTAATCAGCGTATGCACAAACCTTGAAGGACGCAGAGAGATCCATCATAAGATTCCAAATATATGGGCAACAGAAAGACCCCTGAGGCCAATTTCCTAGCAACCTATCGATAACAGCCTCGTGGATACATGCCATAAAAGGAAGTCACTATCAATTTTGCCAGCGACATACTATGGACATAGGTCCCATATAATAGCAACCAGGACATCAAAATTTTTGCCCCGCAGAACTTTTCTCGGTCTCACTTTTAACTTTGTCATTCCATTTGTAACTTCTCGAAATATCCATGTCAGACCCAACAAAGTATAATTTTGGTTCAGCGTAAAATTCTAAGTCGATAAAGCGATGTCCTTCTATCGGTCTGTTGTAATCATTTTCGAACGAACTGGGATAGAAGGCTAAAATTTAGCATGTACCTTTTGCCAGTAGGCAGATTAAGTTCGTAAATGTGCCATATAGGTCCACGTTTTCATATAGCCCCCATATAACTGAACCTCCCAATAGTCTGTATTTTGATGATTTTAGCAATATTTTTACAGAATTTCTTTTCAAATTTCGTATTTAAAGTTCGTAGTAGGTACTACAGCCTTTGACAAAAAATTGCGCGTGTAGTTCCAAGTCTTCGTATGGCCTCATATAACGGTATCTCCCGGTATTCCGTATTTTGATGATTTTGGCGACAACATTAACCGGAATTGTTTCAAATTTCATAGTTGAAGTTCGTATGTTCAGGCCCACGCTTCGTATAGCCCCCATATAACGGCACCACCCAATATTCGGATTTTTGGATGATTTTAGCGAATTTAAATTTTTTTTTTTTAATTTTGTATTCAAAGTTCGTAATGCTTACTACGACCCATAACAAAAAATCGCGTATAGATGTTGTCGTATCTTCGTATAGCCCCCATATAACGGTATCTCCGTATATTCGGTATTTTGATGATTTTAGTGGTATTATTCACCAGAATTGTTTCAAATTTCGTAAAGGAAGTTCAAAATGGGTTCTACAGACTATGAAAAAAATATTTATGAAGAAAACGTCTTCGTACAGCCCCCATATAAGGGATTCCATTAGAGACGTATTTTTTGGAAAATTTTTGTGTTTCTTCAAAATGGTGAAGGATATTAAAACCTCTGTTTAGTTTGCACATCATGTTAGAGTCATATGTAATGGGAATTTATGCATTTACCTTTAGCATTTTTATATTAGGATTTTAAAGTTCTTCCTTTTTTTAAATTATGGAGAGCGGATAAATCTGATATAAAAATGCTAAAAATAAATGACTTTTACTCTAACATAATGTGTAAACTAGACTTAAGTTTGATCCTAGTCAACACAAAATTGACCTGTTCAAATCCTTATTTTACTCTATACATTCGAATGTGTAGCATATTTGTTTGTGCTAGGGCCTAATTTTTCAATTACTTCATCAAATAATGATCATGTTTTCGTTAGTTAGCCTAGACAATGGACGGTCTTGACAAATATTCCCTCCACAACAGGGCCATCCGAGGAGATTTCAAACAATCAAGTGTCGATGTGTGTGTGTGCGTGTGTTTGTGTTTGCCAACACATTTCTTGCAAATTTAATTAAAATCTGGTAGGTTGTGTTCACAGTTGTTCAACAATACGGGTATTTGGAAGCGAACGTATGTACACATGCCTAGACAACAACAACAACAACGGCAAATACACAAATGTATACATTTAGACCTGCAACAGATGCAAATATGTTGCCTCTTTTATTATTTAATCTTTGCGAGAACATAATATTGGCCAAAATATGGATTACATTTTTACACTTGGAGAAATGATTTTTAAAATTTGTTAACATTTCACAAAGGAAGATCAGAAATAAAAAAAAAAAATAATACGGATCAGAGGATCTAGTGTAGGTAGGTCTAGGACATATGGCGTTCTCCATTACGTTTGTAACTCATCGAAATAATAATTTTAGACATAACAAAGTATGTATATTCTTAATCAGCTTTAAATTTTAAGACCATCCGTCTGTCTGTTGTAATCATGCTAGAGTCAACACAAATAAAGATATAAGCTAAAATTTTGGACAGATCAGTATTTTGTCTGCAGGCAGGTCAAGTTCGAAGATGGGCTATATCGGTGCACTATATCGTATAGCCCCCGTATAAAGGTGCTCCACGATAGGTCCACAATATACTATAGCTCACATGCAACGTTACCCCCCGAAATTCGATTTTGATGATTTTAGGGACATTATTCACCGGAGTTGTTTCAAATGTCTTATTTAGAATTCGTAATGGGTACTACAGCATATGACAAATATTGCGTATGCAGGCCCACGTCTTCGCATAGCCTCCACATAACGGCACCTCCTAATATTCGGTATTTTGATGATTTTAGCGACTTTATTCATTCCGTATTTAGAGTTCGTAATTTCGTATTAAGAGTTCGTAGTGGGAACTACAGTCTATGAAAGAAAATGGTCTTCATATAGGCCCCATATATCAGTACCTCCCTAGATTTGGTATTTTGAAGATTTTAGGTACAATGTTCACCAAAATTGTACCTAAACCCGTAAAAATACCGAATATGGGGAGGAACTTATATATGAGGCCTATACGAAAACCTGAAATTTCCCATTTGAAGTTCCTAAAAGGTACTACAGCCTGTGACAGAAATTGTCTATGCAGGTCCAGGGCTTCGTATAGCCCCAGTACCTCCTGATATTCGATATATTGAAGATTTTAGTTACATTTTTCAAAAGAATTTTCTAAAAATCCATACTAGAAGTTCTTTCTAAGCACTTTACCTCCTGAAATAGAAATGTCTATATAGGTCCCCGATATCCTATAGCTCAGATACAACGTTACAACCCGATACTCGATTTTGATGATTTAAGCTACATTATTCAAAGATTATT